CATGACTGACGCAACACAATGACTATACTCACACTACAATAGAGGGAAATGTAGTTGACGAACTTATTTATATGTCAACTTTATTTTACTTGTGTGAGCCAATTACATTTTACAGCTCGTACGTGTGTTTTCTTTCGCATTCTTGATTTTTTTTTTTTTAAAATAACTTCTGACCAGTGTTGAAGGGGAGACAACATATGTTAAAGATGTCTATGAGATGACTCCATTAGTATCCAGTTATCTCCTTGCTTTTGTTATTTCTGACTTTGACCACAAATACACGTACACAACTAATGGAACGCTAGTAAGTTCATGAATTATGTTTCATCTTTTTTCTTTCTTTCTTAAGCATGGTTTATGTTTAAAAATGAAACAATTTCAAAATTACTTTACGATTGTTATAAAAAGTAAAACAAAATTGTTAATGATACTGGACGTGGACCTAGGTGTTGTTGGCTATGTGTTCTTTAATCTTTACATAACATAACCATTTCCTCTTAATATTACTGAAAAAAAAAACTCAATTTCAGTCAGTGGCGTAGGCAGGGGGGGGGGGGGTTAGGGGGGGGGGGTCATAACCCCCCCCCATAGACCCCTCGGTATATAGAAAAAGTATGAGGGGGGGGTGCAAATCGAAAGTTTGAGGGGGGGGGTGCAAATCGAAAGTTTGAGTGGGGGGGGGGTGCAAATCGAAAGTTTGTCCCCAGGTAAAAATTGGACCCCCCCCCCCCCTTGAGACGATCCTGGCTACGCCACTGATTTCAGTTACGTATAATACTAGTATAATACTATCTTCACAACGCTTGCTTGATGTATTCAGTTTCGTACTTGGGCAAGAAAAGAAGCGATTGATCAAGTTGATTATTCACTAGAGATTGGAGCAAACTTAACAACTTACTTTGAGGATTTGTTTAATGTTCATTATCCACTTCCTAAACAAGGTAAAGGCTTAAACTTAAACGATGAATATTTCTTTCAATTTTTAGTGATACATACTTACATAGTACATAGTCTTTACATATATCTAGTCTAGATCCATAATATCTAATCTTTAAGAAATTACTTTTTAAAAAAAAACAACTATTTTCAATTTCTTTTTTAAATATAGATCTAGATTTACTAAAAATTTTTTATTTATTCTTTAAACTTCAGACATGATAGCAGTTAAATAAAGTATTGACTGACTAAATTTCTTATTTACTCTTTTATTATAAAGTAACTTCAGACTTGATAAGCAGTTAAATAGAGACTTACTAAAATTTATAATTTATTTATTTTTATTATAAAATAACTTCAGACATGATAGCAGTTCCTGATTTTGTATCTGGTGCTATGGAAAACTGGGGTCTAATTACCTACAGGTAAATAAAATAAAAAAAAGAAAAGTTACATTTTGTATATATTAGAAACTAAACACGCAAAAAATAGAAATTTAAAAAATAAGTTTAACTTAAGCCTTTGTAGTCTCTGAGGTTAACTAGATTTAACAGTTATAAGCATTTATCTTACAATTTATTTACTGCTGTTCACAGGGAAACATCCATGCTCCACAAAGAAGGTGTTTCAAACGAAGCCAACAGACAAAGGGTGGCCACCATTGTGTCACATGAGATAGCTCACCAGGTAGGCCTACATTAAAATTCCTGAATCAACATTTAATAGTAGATAACTACACCTGTTTTTGTTTTTCATTTGAAATTAATTATACCGTAAAAATAAAATTTCTTATCCTTTTTTTAAGTGGTAAAGGATTTAAAATATCCAGAAAATAGTATTATACCTTTTTACACTATTATTCATATGCACAGTGTTTCTTCCAGACTTTTTTCTCGGAAGAGGATGAGGACACTTGAAATTATTGTGGGGGCGGTCAACATTTGTCGGGGGGGGGGGGGGGGCAGACACTAGTAAAAGTGTATGTTTATTATATAAAATCCCTTCTTGTTCGGGGGGGGGGGGGGGAGAGGGAGGGCAGAGCATTAAAATACCAAAGATAAAACACATTTTTACCCTATCCTTCCCCTCCCTTTCTATACACTAAATTCAGGGAACCTTTCACCCTCAATTCACCCTTACATCAAAGGTGTGATTTTATTTATGAACATCTCTCTTATCGGAAAAATTTTACTTTTTTAAAAAAAAAACCTGTTAACCTTGTAATATTTTTATAAGATAATGGTACTAGTAATTAACTGTTTTAGTAAAAGTTATTTTCATTTGAAGTGGTTTGGAAACCTGGTAACTCCATCATGGTGGGATGACCTGTGGCTGAATGAAGGATTTGCAAGTTTTGGAGAATATCTTGGAGTTGATTATGCACATCCAGACTGGCATATAGTTAGTTTAATTTTTTTTCCTTTTAATTCCTTTATACCTGTTGTTTTAGTAAAGCAATAATTATTGTAGTTTTTTAAGTAATAGTTTTAACTAAACTTATCTAAAAATAGCTACTAGTTGTAATGATAAAAACTGCATATACAAAAAGTTTTTATTTCAATGAATTGTTTTGATTATGAATCTACTAATACTATTTATCTTTTGGTTACATTATAAATCAATACATAATAAAAAATATTGGAATTTACATCTTTTTACAATAAACTATAAAAAAAAGTCTTCTATTTTACAACTGCTACAGTAAGATACTATAAAAGTTTAAATGTCAGTTAAAAGAATACTATTACACTTATACTGTCCTATCATCATCATTCCTTTGTGGCCCCCGGGGGGAGCAAAGGGCTGCAACCACACATCTATGTTGCGAAGTGAGTTTCGGTACAGGGTCGACGCTGAATGTGACGAACGAGGTATAGATCAAATATAGATGAGACAAGGTGGCTTTATCCATTTCTATAATTTTATTACATCAATATACAGCTACATCATCGGCAGACACACAACGAAGACTTCCTAACACAACCTCACATGGCGACGACAAGACTAAGACTAACTCTCAACTATCTTCCTAACAACCAAAACATTCTCTCTTACGTCACATCCTTATTTATTCACGCATTCATAATCTTTTATTAATATCGCTACACACAACTTTATTAATCCTATTCAACTACACACATACTCTCAAACTCACGCCATACACTTAAGTCCATTCATAACAATCTATACTGTCCTATACTGTCCTGTAATAGTTTGATGTGATGGTGGTCAGCGAACTACACACTGCCCTGTCATACGATGGTCTGGTTTCATCTCATCCTGTCTACGTCCCAGTCAGCCACCCTGATGAAATCAATGAAATATTCGACACTATTTCATATTCAAAGGTACCTGATATAAGTATGTTTAAGTTAATGTGAACATAGGGACGTAATTTATAATTATGTATGTGAGTGTTTGTGGCGTGTATGTTTGTGAACAATTTAAAAAACTGTAAAAACAAAAATTTAAATAAAGGATTCAAAGATTAATTAGCTTTTCAAAGATACCCAAGAAAAAGCAAAATAATATTTATAAAATCTGTATAATCTAATGAATACAGTAAAAACTTAAATCAACTTTAGGGTAAGAAAATGTTAAAGTGAATATAATAAATCTAATCCACTCCACAGGGTTCGTCTATCATCAGAATGATGTATCACTTTCTTGGGCATGATACATTCAAAAAAGGCATGCATGTGAGTCCTTTTAGTATTTATAAAATAATAATCAACTAGAAAAATCAAATGGTTGTATCATTCAAAATATTTTAATAAATTATATTGATGACATTCAATTATAAAATCTATATGAAAAACAATAATTAATTAGACAAAGAAAATGGTTTCCCTTATTTTTTTTAAAACAAGATTTTCTTGGAAATGTTTTTGGATGAATAAATTCTTTTGGTTAGTTCATCATCAGCTTTAGTCATTGTTTTTAGTAATTAGTGTTGTGATAAATTCATTTCCATTCATAATCTTCTTATAGTTTAATTTAAATGTTAGCATATATTTAAGTTTAAGTGTTAATATTCTCTTACACTGAGTGTTTTTAAAAATTAGTAAAACAATCTTTAAGTTAAATCATTTTTTTTATTATTATAAAGTTTTGTTTTGTTGTCAGAGGTACTTAAAAGCAAAAGAATATGATGCAGCATTTCATGATGATTTATGGAATGCTCTTACAGAGGTAAGAAACACAGCAATGAAACAAACTCTGTTTAAACAAAGAATATAAAGTAATAAAGTTATTACACTATATAATCTATTTACTTTTCCTAGTTTATCATGAAATTTAATTTCAACTAAAACATTTAACTCTTTTTTAATAATGCAAAATATTGGAAAGATTTTTTCCTTTAATTGCCCGCCAGTAGACTAAAATATTTACTGCCATTTACAGCAAACTCTTGCAGATGGAAAAGCTTTAAACGTCAAAGAAATAATGGACACGTGGACACTTCAAATGAACTATCCTTTAGTCACAGTCACTGTGGTATCACCTAATAAGATTAAAGTTTCTCAGAAAAGATTTCTGGAAGATTACAATGCAACTGATCCAGAGATTTATGAATCACCTTTTGGGCAAGTTGACAATTCCCATAAAAGAACCTCTAAAAATAATTTTGTCTTATGATAACTAAAAATTTTTAAAATTTTATTATCTTTTTAATAACAGCTATAAAATATAGCAGTATATACACAACAAAAAAAATCATCATTTATCTTTAACATATTAACAGAAGACAAATTAAATGTAGAAAAAATATTAACTTATACTATATACAACTGATTTAAAATTTACTAAAAAAACTAATTAAATATATTCATCAGTTATCGGTGGAATATTCCTATTACACTCACAACAAATGATAATGACAAATTCTCTCAGGAAATCTTTTGGCTCTGGAAAAATGAGACTTCCAGTAAGTGATAATATTCAACTTCTCTTGAAAGTTTTTAAAGAACTTTTAACATAACATCTAATCTCTTAGCTTATATTTAATTCATTGAGTAGCTTTTAGCTTATTAATAACAGTCATATTTGAAAATAATTTGATTTTTATCAACAGAGGAGATAACACTTCCACAAGCTAATTTAGATGTCCAGAATGGTTGGGTTCTTGCCAACTTGGACACAAAGGGATTTTACAGGGTAAACTATGCAGAGAAAAACTGGGAGGCTCTATGTAAACAGCTGCTGGATCAGCATGAGGTAAATTACTTGAAATTTTTTATCTATAAAAACTTAAGCAATATTTATTTTACTTTATAAATCTAGTAATTTTATTTTTAAATTCAACATAACAGCATATTTCAAAATGAAAAAAAAAAAATACAACAAATTAAAAATGACACATACATGCTCAAATTACATACTTTGTTCTTATAGCTGAGATTAATGTATAGACAATGTGTTAGTTTTTTAAAATATCTTTTTTCAAAAGCTAATAGTATTGGTACTATCTAGAACTACTTGAATACAATTATTTTCTATATTGGCAGTAATAAATGCTTAATATGTTAATTTGATAGCGTATCCCAGTAATTAACCGAGCTCAAATAATCAATGATGCATGGAGCCTCGCAAAGTAAGTTGACATCTTATTGTGTTGCTTTTTTACACTACAATATTGTAATTTGGTACATTTTGTTGTTTTTTTCCTATTACTTTACAACTGAACTACTTAAACAATTTAAAATTTCATATTTTCAAAACATTTCAAAAGATTTGAAATAATTTAATATTAAAAAAATATTCCTATACTTTAACAGCTAAATGAATATAATGTATTATAATGATTTCCACATTGTGTTAAAAGAAATTATTTCAAACATAAATATAACAATATATTATAGGTCTGGTGATATAGCATTAAGTACAGCTTTTAAAACAATAGATTACCTACATAAAGAAAAAGCATATGCACCTTGGTACACAGCCAGAAGAGAGCTTAATTATATGTCCAGTATGTTGTCTGTGAACTCTTTAAATGGACCTTTCCAGGTAGGTTTAAAAATAAATTTTTTTGCTGAAAATAATTGTAATAAAACTCAATTTTTTTTGGGAAATTTTGTGTATATATATATATATATATATATATATATATATATATATATATATATATATATATATATATATATATATATATATATATATATATATATATATATATATATATATATATATATATATGGAGCTTTACCTATAATTTTTACTTTTAAAAATAAAAAGATGTAGGGATGCAGGTATTCAATAAATAATGTTTTATATGATATTTTCCTGTTTGGCAATACATTGTTTCTATTTTAAAATATATCGTATTTTATTTCTAAACAAGACTTAATTGTGCATGTTATGATTTATATTCTTACACAAACTCAAATTTAATTAGAACTTATTTACTTTTGAATAGAAATTTATGCAAGCAAAGATAAACAGTTCTTACAGCTACTTTGGGTTCAACAACTCTGGATCTTCACACTCTGAAATGTAAATGTTATGTGTGATAAATAAAAAAAATTATGTAAATATTTTAAAAAGAAAACAATTAGATTTTTATTTTACAATTTCTTCTTGTTCTTCAAAAGGATGTGTAACATTCAAAATTCTTTAAATTCTGGCAAAATAATTGTAATTTGTCATATTATTATTTAAAAAACATTACATCTAGTTAAGAAAATAATTGTATTGCCAGTTATTCCTTTATTTTATATATTAATAATTTTTAAAAAATTTCTTACAGTTTAGCTCGCAGCCTCGTTGTGGGACTAGCTTGTTCATATGGGATACAGTCATGTGTGGACACCGCACTTTCTCAATTTAAACAATGGATGGATAACCCTAAATCAAACCCGTAATTATAAATTATATTTTTTCAAATTTAATCCTTGACGGTTACACTTCAGCATAAATATTTCTCAACTTTTGCTTTAGACCTGCATGAAAAAAAAATTTGCTTACTCAACTGTTAATAAAAGTGTTAATATTTTACTATTATTAATTTTAAAAAATATCTCTTCAGTGTCAATTATGTGGAACTTTTTAATATTAATTTTTAAAAGGATCGATCCCAACTTTAAATCAACTGTGTATTGCAACGCCATTTCAGCCGGTGGATGGGAAGAGTGGCAGTTTGGTCTACGGGTAACACATTTAAAGTTTTTTTTTGCATAAATAGATTTTATATATTGATCATTTCCCATTTGCTCATAGGGTTTTGCCTTTAAAAAAACCCTCAGAAAAACCAATTCTAGTAGTACGAACAAAGCAAAATAGTATTCTCAGCTATTACTGCACTAAAGAAATTTTTTTTTTTAAAAACTGTTTTATGGTGTCAGTGTAAACCAGATAAAACTGTTTAAAACAATTCTGCACTACAAATTTTATGATAAAGCTTATGAATTAAAAAAAAAGTAAAACTAAAAATATATGAGATCTACTTTTATTCAGTATTAATTCAGTTTTTGTAACTGTTCTCTGCTATGCAAAAAAAAGGAGAGCTCTAAAACATATTCTATTTAGCACTATTATATTATTTTTATGCATAGATGTACACTGAAACAGACATGGCTACCGAGAGATCTAGCCTACTAAGTGCTATGGCTTGTTCTAGACAGCCATGGATACTTAACCAGTAAGAGTTGCTTCAGCTTTCTCTTATTTTCGCTCATTTAAATAGTCTAAACGCAAAGGTTTTTATTTCACTAAAATATAGCTAATTATATTTCTCTGTGAAACAATAAGAAAAAAATACTAATATCTTTTCAGCTACATGGGACTTATCTTGGAGAAGGGTTCACCTATTCGCAAACAGGATGGTTTGACTGTTATTATCCAAGTTGCTTCTAATTCTGTTGGACGTCCTCTAGCTTGGAACTTTTTTAGATTCCACTATGCTGAGATAAAAGAAGAGTAATGTTGACTTAACTTTTAAAAATGATATTAATTATTATTTACTCAATAACTGTATAGGCCTAGTATTCATATAAATATCTACATCAGAATTTTTCATACATCTAGGTAACAGTAAAAAATCTTTTCTAAATAGTATAGCTAATTTTTAAAAGTATATAGTTAATACAAAATAAAGTTTTAAAAATTGTATAGTAATATTCCAAAACAAGAATTAATCTTTTTTTTAAGGCAAATTATAATTTTTAACTTTTATTTTTTTATTTAATACTAAATTCAACATATTTTTGATGGCTGTGTCAATTCTAAATATTCAATAATGTATTTTTACTATTTAGACATTTTGTAATAAAATTAAAACTGTTTTGTTGAAAATATATTTGTAATACCTGTGACGTTTCTTCCAGATATTCTAATTCAGTGTTTCAGTGGATGAGTATTTTTGGCTCACTCACAAGGTCTTACAACACAGAGTTTGAATTAAATGAAGTGAGTTGGTTTATTTTTAATAAAGATCTAAATCCCGCATTTTGTTATTAAAATAAATTACAATAATAAAAAGTCTAACTGTTAATGTTAGAGAATTGACTTACAATTAGCAAGCCAATTCAAATAACCATTTAATGTATTTTTTAAAACACAAAATTAGCACTTTTAAAGAAGTAGGCCTATTTATGGTTAAGACATATTTTTAAAAACTATATCACTAAGTGATTTTATTCCGTGCTCTTTTTGGGACAGCACGTACGGGTATGGCATACCAGTGGGGAAAAAATTATTACTTTCCTTGAAATTTAACGTTTATTATTAATTTATTATATTATTAATCAGTTAATTGTTAATTTAGTATCTAATTTAGTATCTTTGCAGTAGTGATTTAGCTTGCATTGAGGTGCGAACTGGTAGTTAAAAGTTAGGCAATCCATCTCAAATTACCAGCACCTTTTTTTTTTTTACAAAAAAAGCACTGATTATATTCAGAAAAAAAATACTTTTTATCACAGTAGCCTACTTACTGTTCTTTTGTTTGCTCCAGTCTAAAATTACTACATGGGACTTAGATTAATTTAAACAAGAATGCATTGCTTTATTATCTTCAGTTGAAGGCGTTCAAGGCCAGCAATGTGAATAATTTGGGAACTGGTGCTAGAAATCTTGACCAAGCCATTGAGACAGTGGCGACAAACATTAAGTGGATGCAAGTTAATCAGAAGTCAATTCAGAGCTGGTTAAGCAATGCTACTCTTTCTACTGAATGATTTAAAAGTTAATTTAATAAAGTATTTACATTTACTTAAATCTAATATTTATTTAATTGTTGTTAATTTATAAAATGAATATGAAATACAAACCTAATCTACTACTACTATATTGTTACTAAATAAATTGAAATCAATAATGAAAGTTAAAAAAAAAACAACACTTTTATACCAACTTAATAGATTTATTTAAATCAATGCATTTTACTTGACTGGAATTTATTTCCTGGATACATAGGCCTACTTTGTATTTATTTATTTCATGTAAATATAGAACATGTCATATTTAAAATATTTATTTTTAACTTGTTTTGCTAATAAAAAAAATACCTCAGTCATGAGTGGTGTATAGTTGTATATTTAATTAAAATTATCACTCACTACCATATTTTTATTGTGTTGTAACATGGCATACTTTTATATAAACATTAATTAAGTTTTGTTGACACACTTTTTAGACATTTACAGTAAATTAAAAGAATTTTGACTTAAATATCTCCAGTAAGTTAAATGTTAATGTCTAATAATAGCTGGCAAGTGTCTTATTTCGTGTAATTTGTATACATGTTATTTAGAAGCTGAGTAAATTTTATTATCCATGATAATAACAATCAAAAATAAATTTTATCAGACAATTACAAAAATTATTTTAAATAGGCCTATTAGAAAATAATAAACAGGCACATAGCTTTAGAATTCTTCATTAACATTATAAAATTATATATTATAGGGTCTCTATAGGGCCAAAAATCTTTCAAAATGTAAACAACTGAAAAAGAAACGTGAAAAAAAATTACAGTAGCTAGTTCTATAATTTCTTCATCTTTGTATATCTGATTATTAAAACATTAGTTGAACATTAAAATAAATACATGTATTTAGGAAAATAAAAAAAATAATAATAAATGACACAAGTATGCATGATAAGCACTTTGCTTGTGCCTTATATAATATATATAATGATGATAATAGGGTAATTTTCTCTACTCAAATAACAATATTTTAATAAATATCTCAAAACTAAATATAGGACTTAAGATCTCATAGACAAAAGATTTAAGAAACAAAATATCTCGAAACAAAATACATAATACAAAATATATTGGACAAAAATCTCACAGTAAAATAACTACAGAATTGTTTTTCTGGTTTTTTGAATTCTTCTAAAATACTTTGGGTATTCTGCAGCAAGATGTTTTGTCTTAAGATATTTTTTCTGTGATTTCTTTTGTCTTTGAAATTTTATCTGAGATTATTTGTCATGTAACAATGTTTTTGTTAAGTTTAGTCATGTATAAAATTATACCTAGGCAATTGTGTGGACGCTTTTTTCAGGCGTAAAATTATCGTTATTTTAAAAATGGAGTGTTTTGAAATGATAAAATATAGTGACACTAGTGCATGGTCACCAATAGCTGTAATTTAACATAAAATAATTTTTATTTAGGGGTTCTTCTGGGGAGGGGGGGGGTCTGTCTCATTTAACACCCTCCCCCCATACTTTGTCTACACCAATGGGCCAATAATAAACAGGCACATAGCTATAGAATTCTTCATTAACATTATAAAATTATATAGGGCAAAAAAATCTTTTAAAATGAAAACAACTGAAAATAAAAACCGTAAAAAAAATTACAGTAACTATAATTTCTTCATCTTTGTAAATCGGATTATTAAAACATTAGTTGAACATTAAAATAAATACATGTATTTAGGAAAAAAAAATAATAATAATTAATAAAAGACACAAGTATGCATGCTTCAACTACATAAGATAAGCACTTTGCATGGGCCTTAAATAATCAGGCAATTTTCTCTACTCAAATAACAAAATTTTAATAAAGATCTCAAAACTAAATATAGGACTAAAGATCTCAAAGACAAAAGATTTAGGAAACAAAATATCTCAAAACAAAATACATAATACAAAATATATTGGACAAAAATCTCACAGTAAAATAACTACAGAATTGTTTTTCTGGTTTCTTGAATTCTTCTAAAATGTTCTTCTAAGATGTTAAGTTGAATATTTTCAGTTACTGTGGGTGGGGGTGTCACCATATTTAATAGTTTACTATAAAAACGTTGTTTAATAGGCATATATATATACTAGCTGCATCCCGTGCTCAGCCACGGTAAATCTTTTTTAAATGTACCAACTTGGGAACAAAACAAAACACAACACAAACGAACGCAAAAAAAAAAAAAAAAACAACGAAAAAACAAACACAACACTCATAACATAAACACAATTTAAATGCAATCATAAAGGCAAATTGCTCACAGTCTAGCCCGTAGCGCCAAATTGCGCCCTTTCCGGTGATTTGCAACCCCCTCAAACTTTCGATTTGCACCCATTCCACCCCCCCCCCCCCCCCCGCCCTAAAACTTTCGATTTCCACCCCCCCCCCCCTCGCAAATTTTTTCCAACCCACTTTGGCGCCCCTTAAGGTCGGCACCCGGGGACATATGCCCCCCCCCCCCCTCGCTACGCCTCTCCTATAAAACCCGAAAGATAGAATAATAATTAGTAAAGAGTATAAATAATAGGCAGTATTTAAAATATCCGTGTTTTACCTACAATATTTCACTTTATCCATTCACGCATTTTTTTCCAGTACTTTAAATTTTAAAAACTTACAATAGAGTTTCATAACTAAAACCATTGCGCACCTAATGAACGTAATGACGCGTCTACAATAATGCTGAATAGTTGATTCAAAATTATAAGTAATTATAAGTAATAAACAGTAGGGCCTACATTCAGTGAATAAAATAAATAAAAGATTGCCTTTTATCAATCCATGCTAATTATAATTTTCTAACAATAATTTACTCTTACACATCCGGATAATTTGCATTCACATTTTGCTAATTATATTATTGCAACACTAATTCCTTCTATGACGACCGTATATTTGCATTCACATTTTTTATTAGCGTGAGTTTAATGTATTTTTAAATTACCTCTTTTGTCAAAATTAGAAAAAAAGAGTTATATTAATTTGATTTTTCTACCGTACTGTTATTATGTTATTGAAATGTATCCATTTTTTTCTGGGAATATAAACGAAAATGATATTTGACATTGATACTTTTAATATGTTTTAGCCGTGTGTGTATATTTAATATTTTCTTTAAGTTATGCAAAATTGTACAAACAGTGGAAATTATAAAATAGCTCTATGCCGCTATATAAACAAACCCTACTCTAATACTTATAATAAGACACTGCGGTGCACTGAAAAGCACAGCATGGTGCGTAGTTTACTTTTATAGTCCCAAAATCTATAGCGATGACGGACGGAAGGAAGGACACGCTCAGCCCGCTTATATTATACTAGCTGCATCCCGTGCTCCGCCACGGTAAATCATTTTTAAATGTACCAACTTTGGAACAGAACAAAACAAACAAAAACAACACAAACACAAAAACCACAAACACAACACAACCACAACACAACCACAACACAACCGCAACACAAACACAACACAACACAACCACAACACAACCACAACACAACCACAACACAACCACAACACAAACACAACACAACACAACTACAACACAACCACAACAAAAACACAACCACAACAGAAACACAACCACAACACAGCCACAACACAACCACAACACAACCAAAAAACAACCACAATACAACCACAACACAACCACAACACAACCAAAAAAAAAACAACACAACCACAACATTAGAATCACCACCAAACAACACGCTTTTTAGGCGTCCGCGCCCAAAGAGACCCTTTCCAACATTAAAAATTTAAGTCACATAAATAGATCCTACTCCATAACTTACAATAAAACAATGCGATGCAAATGAATGTACGGCAAGTGGTGTTTACTTTTATGGTTCTAAGAAAACACATTGGCAATGTAATTAGAATTACCACCGAAAATCACGCTTTTCCCAGGCGTCCGCGCCCAGAGAGAGTCTTTCCACCATTCTCTATATTATAATTATAAAATTTCACCATCTGTTAGCACCAAAAAACAAAAACAAAAAATAGTGATTTTGAGAAATCATAGACTAATTAGAAAATAATATAAATAATCTTAACATTTTTCTCTTTTAATTATGAACCTTAACATAGACTAATCAATGCGGTAGTAATAAAAAAAAGATTAACTTAAATTATTGTTGAGTTAAATATATTTTCAAATTACCTCCCTTGAAACAATTACCACAAAAAAAAAGTGGAATTAATTAGCTTTTTCGACCTACTTTTATGGAAATGTATCCATTTTTTCTAGGAATATAAACTAAAATGATATTTGACATTAATCTTTTTAATACGTTTTAGCAGTTTGCGTGTATTTAATATTTTCTTGACGTTATGCGAAAGAGTAAAAACCGTGGCAATTATAAAATAGCTCTATGCCGCTATATAAACAAACCCTACTCTAATACTTATAATAAGACACTGCGGTGCACTGAAAAGCACAGCGTGGTGCGCAGTTTACTTTTATAGTCCCAAAATCTATAGCGATGACGGACGGAAGGAAGGAAGGAAGGACACGCTCAGCCCGCTTATATTATAGACTAGCTGCATCCCGTGCTCCGCCACGGTAAATCTTTTTTAAATGTACCAACTTGGGAACAGAACAAAACTAAACACAACACAAACGAACGCAAAAAAAAAAACAACGAAAAAACAAACACAACACTCATAACATAAACACAATTTAAATGCAATCATAAAGGCATATTGCTCACAGTCTAGCCCGTAGCGCCAAATCGCGCCCTTTCCGGTGATTTGCACCCAACTCAAACTTTCGATTTGCACCCCTTTCCCCTCCCCCCCCCCCCCCCGCCCTAAAACTTTCGATTTCCACCCCCCCCCCCCCCGCAAATTTTTTCCAATGCACTTTGGCGCCCCCTAAGGTCGGCACCCGGGGACATATGCCCCCCCCCTCGCTACGCCTCTCCTATAAAACCCGAAAGATAGAATAATAATTAGAAAACAGTATAAATAATAGGCAGTATCTATAATATAAGCGGGCTGTGGTGTGTCAGTCCTTCCTTCCTTCCTTCCTTCTGTCATCGCTATAGCTTTTGGAACCATAAAAGTAAACATTCGCACCATGCTGTGCTTTTCAGTGCACCGCAGTGTCTTATTATAAGTATCAGAGTAGTGTTTGTTTATATAGCGGCATAGAGCTATTTTATAATTTCCACTATTTGTACAATTTTGCATAACGTAAAGAGAATATTAAATACACGCACATTGCTAAAACATATTAAAAGGATCAATGCCAAATATAGTTTTCGTTAATATTCCTAGAAAAAGTGGATACATTTTAATAACAAAATAACTGTAGGTTAGAAAAATCTAATTAAACTGTTTAGTAATTTTGCCAAGGGAGGTATTTTAAAAATAAATTGAACTCACGCTAAAAATGTGAATGCAAAATCTGCAAGACGGAATAATTGTTGGAATAATATAATTAGCAAAATGTGAATGTAAATTATGCAGACGTGTAAGAGTACATTATTGTTGGAATATTATAATTAGCATTGATTGATAAAAGGCTATCTTTTATTTATTTTATTCACAGAATGTGCAGTTTACTAATTATAATTTTTAATCAACTATTCTCCAGTATTATATTAAGTCATCACGTTCATTAGATGCGCAATGGTTTTAGTCATGAAACTTTATTGTAAATTTTAAAAAGTACTGAAAAAAATGCATGAATTTATAAAGTGCAATATGGTCGGTAAAACACGGATATTCTAAATACTGCCTTTAATTTATTTTATACACTGAGCGTACTGTTTACTAATTATTATTCTATCTTTCAGTTTGCGGACAAGCTAGGGGTTTTATATCAGAAGCGTAGCAAGGGGAACACATGACCCAGGGCGCCGACCTTAGGGGGCGCTAATGTGGGTTGGAAAAAATTTGCGGGGGGGGGGGGGAGGGTTTTTCGTTTGTGTTGTGTTTAGTTTTGTTCTGTTCTGTTCCCAACTTGGTACATTTAAAAAAGATTTACCGTGTGTTGTGGTTGTGTTGTGGTTGTGTTGTGGTTGTGTTGTGGTTGTGGTTGTGTTGTGTTTGTATTGTGGTTGTGTTGTGGTTGTGTTGTGGTTGTGCTGTGGTTGTGCTGTGGTTGTGTTGTGGTTGTGGTTGTGTTTTGTTTGTGTTTGTGTTTGTATTGAGTTTTTTTTTTTTTTTTTTTTTCTGTTCCAAAGTTGGTACATTTTAAATAGATTTACCGTGGCGGAGCACGGGATGCAGCTAGTCTATAATATAAGCGGGCTGAGCGTGTGTCAGTCCTTCCTTCCTTCCTTCCTTCTGTCATCGCTATAGCTTTTGGAACCATAAAAGTAAACATTCGCACCATGCTGTGCTTTTCAGTGCACCGCAGTGTCTTACTATAAGTAGTAGAGTAGGGTTTGTTTATATAGCGGCATAGAGCTATTTCATAATTTCCACTGTTTGTACAATTTTGCATAACGTAAAGAGAATATTAAATACACGCACATTGCTAAAACATATTAAAAGAATCAATGTCAAATATAGTTTTTGTTAATATTCCTAGAAAAAGTGGATACATTTTAATAACATAATAACTGTAGGTTAGAAAAATCTAATTAAACTGTTTAGTAATTTTGCCAAGGGAGGTATTTTAAAAATAAATTGAACTCACGCTAAAAATGTGAATGCAAAATCTGCAAGACGGAATAATTGTTGGAATAATATAATTAGCAAAATGTGAATGCAAATTATGCAGACGTGTAAGAGTACATTATTGTTGGAATATTATAATTAGCATTGATTGATAAAAGGCTATCTTTTATTTATTTTATTCACTGAATGTAATGCTTACTACTTATACTTTTTTATCAACTATTAAGCACTATTATAGACGCGTCATCACGTTCATTTGGTGCGCAATGGTTTTAGTTATGAAACTCTATTGTAAATTTTAAAATTTAAAGTACTGGGAAAAAAATGCGTGAATTGATAAAGTGATATAATATGGTAGGTAAAACACTGATATTTGAAATACTGCTGGGGGTTTTATAGGAGAGGCGTAGAGAGGGGGGGGGGGGACAAATGTCCCCGGTTGCCGACCTAAGGGGGCGCCAAAGTGGGTTGAAAAAAATTGCGGGGGGGGGGGGTGCGGGGGGTGGTGGAAATCGAAAGTTTGAGGGCGGTGGGAGGATGCAAATCGAAAGTTTGAGGGGGATGCAAATCAACAGATTGAGCGGGGGGAATTTCAAATCAAAAGTTGTGCAAATCGAAAGTGAAGGGGGGGGGGGTGCAAATCGTAAGTTTTTCCACGGGCGCCGGAAAGAGTCGCTACGCCTCTGTTTTATAGTCATTCACTGTATCAGACGCGTCCGGCGGCGCTCGGAAAGGGCGCGATTTGGCGCTACGGGCTAGACTGTGAGCAATATGCCTGTATGATTGCATTTAAATTGTGTTTATGTTATGAGTGTTATGTTTGTTTTTTTCGTTTTTTTTTTTTTTTTGCGTTCGTTTGTGTTGTGTTTAGTTTTGTTCTGTTCCCAAGTTGGTACACTTAAAAAAGATTTACCGTGGCGGAGCACGGGATGCAGCTAGTTTAAAATATCCGTGTTTTACCTACAATATTTCACTTTATCCATTCACGCATTTTTTTCCGGTACTTTAAATTTTAAAAATTTACAATAGAGTTTCATAACTAAAACCATTGCGCACCTAATGAACGTGATGACGCGTCTATAATAGAGCTGAATAGTTGATTAAAAATTATAAGTAATAGATAGTAGGGCCTACATTCAGTGAATAAAATAAATAAAAGATTGCCTTTTATCAATCCATGCTAATTATAATTTTCTAACAATAATATAGATTTTGGGACTATAAAAGTAAACTACGCACCATGCTGTGCTTTTCAGTGCACCGCAGAGTCTTATTATAAGTAATAGAATAGGGTTTGTTTATATAACGACATAGAGCTATTTTATAATTGCCACTGTTTTTACTTTTTTGCATAACGTAAAGAGAATATTAAATACACGCACACTGCTAAAACATATTAAAAGTATTAATGTCAAATATCATTTTCGTTTATATTCCCAGAAAAAGTGGATACATTTCAATAACATAATAACAGTACGGTAGAAAAATCAAATTAAACTGTTTAGTAATTTTGCCAAGGGAGGTATTTTAAAAATAAATTGAACTCACGCTAAAAATGTGAATGCAGAATCTGCAAGACGGAATAATTGTTGGAATAATATAATTAGCAAAATGTGAATGCAAATTATGCAGACGTGTAAGAGTACATTATTGTTGGAATATTATTATTAGCATTGATTGATAAAAGGCTATCTTTTATTTATTTTATTCACTGAATGTACTGTTTACTAATTATACTTTTTAATCAACTATTCTCCATTACTATATTAAGTCATCACGTTCATTAGGTGCGCAATGGTTTTAGTCATGAAACTTTATTGTAAATTTTTAAAAGTACTGAAAAAAATGCATGAATTTATAAAGTGCAATATGGTAGGTAAAACACGGATATTCTAAATACTGCCTTTAATTTATTTGAGGAAAAGCTAGGGGGGGGGAGGGTGGAAATCGAAAGTTTGAGGGAGGTGGGAGGGTGTAAATCGAAATTTTCCGCCGGCGCTCGGAAAGGGCGCGATTTGGCGCTACGGGATAGACTGTGAGCAATATGCCTTTATGATTACATTTAAATTGAGTTTATGTTGAGTGTTGTGTTTTTTTTTTTCGTTTTTGTTTTTTCTTTGCGTTCGTTTGTGTTGTATTTAGTTTTGTTCTGTTCCCAACTTGGTACATTTAAAAAAGATTTACCGTGTGTTGTGGTTGTGTTGTGGTTGTTTTGTGGTTGTGTTGTAGTTGTAATGTGGTTGTGTTGTGGTTGTGTTTTGTTTGTGTTGTGTTTTTGTTTGTTTTGTTCTGTTCCAAAGTTGGTATATTTTAAAAAGATTTTCCGTGGCGGAGCACGGGATGCAGCTAGTATATATATATATATATATATATATATATATATATATATATATATATATATATATATATATATATAGGCCCCCCTATCCTATACTTTTTTTTATTTCGTGAGGGGGGGGGCGACATCCGACCTAGCTACGTCACTGGTAGACTCTAGTAGACCACTATATTCAATATTGCCATATAAATATTGACATTCCTTTTAAAATATCACTTTTGTTGCTTTAATGATCAAAACCTTGAGGTTATTCGATTGTATCGAACTTTCATACTTTCATGGCTTACGAATAAACCTGAATTCCGAGACGACTAGAAAATATGTTTGGTTATTTCATTCTTGTGATATAAATAAATAATTTATGTGCATAGATAGTTTAATTAATCTAAAAAGCGAATACAATTTTTTTACATTTCCGGTAATGGTCGCTAAGACGCTTTCAGATGAACTGTGAAGTAGACTGTAGATCTAGGTTTAGTAAATTGTAATTATTTGCTTAGGGAAATCACAATTAGAGATCTAGATGTAGATTCTAGATCTATATGCCTACGTATAATTCTATTTTGTTTTATATCATCCGTAGGCCTATTTATATTATTATTAAAGAAGAGCAGCCCTTCATTCAAAATTACTTCAAATTCAAATGAATGAATTCATTCTCACATTTGTTGAAGTTTAGATCTTATCTATGAGTCAGAATGAGATTTTAATTTAGGCCTAATAAATTTATATAGAATTTAGTGTATTTACTGTATTAGTAAAGTAAGCCACTATCACTAATCACTAAAAAACTAAGGTAAGTCATTTTGGTAGGTCCTAATCTTTTTTTTTGGACTATGTTAATGTTTCATTGTTTGAAGCTAAATTGCTGCAAAATCTAGCTAGATCTAGAATCTAGTAATGTTGAAAGAAAGGGGACTGCTAGTGAAGTGCCTTATTTCTCAATTTTATGAAGATTTCAGATTTATTATGTTTTAAAAGTTTCAAAAATGAATTTCTAGATTAGTAAAGAAGACAGTAAAGTATTATTTTTTTATTTTTCTCAGGCTTGCAAGATCTCTCGACAATGTTTGTAACTTTTTCATTGTCTAGAAATTTTTAAAACTAGCAGTACTGCCAATGGATCTAAATGACTTATCTAATCATAAATTAAAAAGTGAGCAAGACAGCAGCCAAATGAGTGCTAATCAAGAATGTAAAACCCCAGCAGCAGGTGACTGGATCAAGGAACTGTTCACACCATTTTATGACTTTGATGACATTGTCAAAGTGGCAAAAGATGGTTACCAACCAGAGGAAAGTAAAATAAAACCTGTTCCTATTCTTGATCCAGTCGCAATAAGGGAAGTTTTTGAACGAGTACATAGTCGCATCGTCGAGGCAGAAAAGGAAAAGCTTGATGCCTTACAAGAAAAAAAAGGTAGGCTATTAGAGTCTATGCATTTTTCATAAATATATTTAGGCACTTAGATTTTATTTTGCTGCATTCTTAACTTTAGAAAAAAAATTCTGTTTCTGAAGAAAACTTTATCTTTGTTTTAAGAAAAAGAACTAGAAAAGAAAATAGACCCACGCAGTTCAAGTATTTGGAACACAGATGAAATCAGCACTCTTCGAAATGTCTACAAATCAGCTAAAGGTGAGTAGTTTAAACAGGAATCTTTAACCATAAGTTCCATTCTAGGAAAAAAATACTGGAATCTAGTTTATTTTTAATGGAATGCATAAAAAAGTAGTATCTCAAATCAGAGTTTTCTTCACATTTGTTATTTTAAAAAAAAATTCTTTCTTCAATGATTTCTCATGTTTTAAAAATATATGTTTATCAAATTATCATTGTTTTTGATAGGGGAAATCATCAAGCTTGAGGTTGCACTTAGAGAACAAACAGCCCACAGTAATTCCTTACAAGATACAGTGTTAAAACAGCGATTGGAGATAGAAGATCTTAAAGAAAAACTAAAGGAGGCATCAAAGTCTAACAAAAGACTGGTCATACACAGAGACAGCCTGCAGAATGATTTGGCTGTGCTTGAAGTCAAACTGGCAGCCCTCACTGACATGTGGCATGAGATACAAGCTGAAAAGGTATGCAATGGCGTCTTGACAGGCTAATTATTTGATGTCTTACCTGTAATTAATCTGACTAAACAGGTGGTACAGTCTGTGACGTAGATGATGTAAATAATTAGAAAGCTGAGTGTAACACAGTCAAACAATTAATAGGGTATGTACTCAACTTTTTAATGAGATGTTTTGAAGATTTATTATTCAAGGCATGAAATAAATTAAATAATACTTCTTGTATTGTTTTATTGAAAAAAAATTATTTTGATAGTACAGGCTACCACAGTAATGCTTTTAAAGTATTTAGTTAGATAGATGTTGTGACTGTTCTCTATGTTTAATATATGTAATTAAAAACTAAAAATCTAATGTAGACTGCTTTTTGATGGGAAATTTTAATATAATTTTCTACATTTAAGTTATAAAATATGTAAAGAAGGAGGTTAAGTTATTCGATAATCACATTTATATGTTTTTATTTAAATTCAATTAAATGAAACAGCTTGGCAACTTAGTCCAATAAGTGTCATCACTGACTAATGTAATGCTATTATAGATAATTTTCCCATTACATAAAAAACATAATTTTAATTAAAATTTTTAATACCTTTTAATTTTTATGGAATAAAAATTAAATGCTAACTCCCATTTCTACCCCCCCCCCCCCTAACCTTACCTAAGTAATCATTATTTTAAAGTTAAAAGCCCCATGTTCATTGTGCCATTTATTGTAATAAATTTAGTTGTATAACTAATTTGTAAAATTTTTACCAGGTGAAAGCCATGGAAGATACAAAAAGTTCCCACATGGAACTTGACAAGGAACGGCTCATCCGCAATGACCTGGAGGCCAAACTCTTGCAAGCCGAACAAAATCTGCAACGTGAAAAATCTCTGCTGGAGCGGAACATCTCCTCCAAGTACGAAGCAGAGATAAAAGACTTGCAGGAAGTGGTGCGTGATCTGATGCTAGAGCTACAAGAGGAGAGGAAGCTCTACAACGCATCCAAGAGAGGGTTGGAGCATCTAAGGAACCACTTCTCAAGTTTACCGCTACAGCATATTTTGCCACCCAATGCTGCTGTGAAAAACGAAGTTGAAGTTATTGACCATATTAGTCTCAGTTAGAAAGTTTAAACCAAACAAACATTTAGCAGCTGAAAAACGAAGTTGAAGTTATTGACCATATTAGTCTCAGTTAGAAAATTTAAACCTAACAGACATTTAGCAGCTGAAATTAACAAACGTCGCTGTTGAATTTTTAAGAAAAGCAGCATTTGTTTGCAATATGTGATTCGTTGATGAAATTCACAGTTATTACTTACATTGTATTAAACTAACAACATACAAATGTGATTAAAGTTCATTGATCATTGTTTTCAAATATTGTATTTTTCATGCAATATAAACTGATTTATTGTAAAAATCAATTTGTGTCTCTGGTTGGTATTTAGATTGTATTTACATTACATTTGAATTGAACTGTAGATTTCAAGCTGGGTATTCTCAGAAACTAAAAGCATCTGTTCTGTTTTCCTTAGACTTAATTTAGTGAGTGGTGTTTGGTGGTAAAACATGCAAATGTGCTCTCCCCAATGTCATCAGTTTGGAACCAGAGACCTGTGGTTTGTCTCCTAGTTGACCTACCCCTCAACCAGGTGATACAATGCATTGAAATAGGGTTCTGGTGGTAACTCACAGTTCTAGCAACTGTTAACATGGGTGAGAGAAATGCTAGATTTTTTATTTTTAAATGTTGCTGTCTTCCTGGCTATCCAGCATTACTTGAGAGGGTGGTTAAAAGAGTTAAAAAAAAATTGATAGCATCATTCTGTTGATTTTTTAAAGTTTAAATCTTCTTCTTTGTTCTTAATTTTTAGTGTTGGAAGGGATCCCCTCCAACACAATTAAGTATTCGTGTCAACTAATTATGCGCCTTTGAGGCCATTGACTCTGATTTCAGTCTGCTTTTCTTTTTGGATTTGCTTCCATAGCCTTTGTCCAACCAAGAACAAACTACAAGGCAGCAGTTGTTTTATTTTAGAGTTGTTTCTCCTAGAAGAGTGGCTGTCCCCAGCTTACGAGCCTCATCTGCCAGAGGTTTTGAACTCGAGGCTTTTCAGTTTAGCATCCATGAGCTTTTGCCGCTAGACCACGCCGACCCACATAACTGAATGATTTTTTTTTGTCTGAACATATATTTAGTATTTCAAATAAATACAGTGCACTTCAGTTTGGAAATTTCAATGAATAATTAGTAAAGGTAATGTAATAAGTAGTTTATTTCTATATACAAAGTGTTACGGGTCAGTTGTAGGTTAGATAGAAATAGGTTAAAATTATCTAGAATTAGTGGAGAGTGTGAGTTGAGTTTACCCTAGAGTATTGTTAACCTGGTGTGTTTATGTATTGTTATCCAAAGGTCGAATGCGTTATAAAAGCTGGAGTGAATGGTTGTAAGTAAGGGATTAGATTGGTAGCGGTTAGGGGTGAGGACTACTATGTTATGTAAAGAATTGAGTCCAAAATAAAAAAGATTTTTTTTTTTTTGTTTTTTTTGTTATAAAGCAATACATTATTTTATTCCAAATTTATAATAATTTAATAAACATTTAAATTACAAGTAATATAGAACAAATTACAAACTTTTTTTGGACATTTCAAATATGAATCATACAATATATAATTTTTTAGACGACAAAGCAATTAAAAAATCTGGTAAAAATTTACAGTTTCAAATTAACTGACATTTGCAGCAGATACATTTTTAAAATAAGATATTGCATCTATATTATACTATGTCTAGAGTGTTTGAAAAGTTTTGAAATGTTTTATTTTTCCATTAAGGATTCTTACAAAAAGTTACAACCAAATTAGTAATAATTTTAAAATATCAGCAATTTTACTAGAAATATTTCACAACAAAAATTGAATCCTATATGAATTTACAAATCTTAAGTTCACTGTCTGTGAAAATTTTTTAAAAGCAGACAACTGAAAGCGACAATATACATAAATTTACACCAACAAACTTCTTCACCCCAAGCATGTCATAAATATTCATTCGTTGTCAGATTTATCTCCCTCTATCAATAGATTAAAAGCAATCACATCAATAAATGTATTCACACATTTGAGAAATAAAGTATGTATTGCCTAATACACAGTTGTAAATATTAAAATTCAGATCTTTTAGAGCTATTGTTATATAGCATAATACTTCCTACATTATTTATTATTATTTATTTTTTTAAAAGCGGAATTACAATTTTAAAATCCAAAAACCTGGACATTACTCAAAACAGCTAATTGATATTCACTCTAAGTAATGAATAAACACCAGTTACTAAATGATATAGTGAAATATGTGGTGAATGATTAGTGCCAGTAACTTGTTGATGTATATTTATTCATTGATAAGCAAGCAACACTTCAAGTAGCTGAAGAATAGCAATTCTTTGCATGACAAAGCACTCCAAACATTTCTGTATGGATTGGATAGTGATTAAGATGAAAACAGTTGAGTTCTCTTATTTCAAATCATAGCCTCCCTTGATTGTGTGTAGTCATAGCTTCCCTTGATTGTGTGTACATTGAGCAATTAAATGACAGGTAGCATACACTATTTGTATATACCAGTGGCGTAGCGGGGGGAGGGGAAGGGGGGAGGACCGAACCGGGTGACACCATTTAGGGGGGGGGGGTGACACCAAGGCAAAAAACAGCAAAATATATAGAGAAAAATGATAATTCCACTTAATTGATTAATTCGAGTGTTAGTCTTTTAAGAGGTGCAAATCGAAAGTTTGAGTGGGGGGGAGGGGGGGGGGGGGGGGGGGGTTCAAATTGAAAGTTTGTTCAGGGAAGGGTCGCTACGCCTCTGGGGGGTGACACCATTAAGTGCCACACCGGGTGACACCCGACCTCGCTACGCCACTGGTATATACTGTTGTGTTTATGGAATGATAAGTGTTCACATGGAGATTGACAGTTGTTGTGTACTATGAGGAATGTTGTGTTTGACTATCAATTTGGAAAGTGTTGGTGATTGCATGGAGCAACTTTTTATTACCCTTTTAATATATATTATTTTCTACATTATTTAATACATTCTTATCCTTTTTTGTATAGCTTTAATAGTAAATAGATAGCATATTATTGAGTTGTCATATATGGTATATCATAGTGTTGGGGGCGGGGGGGGGGGGGGGTTATACCTGTGTCGGCATATGAAGAGATAGTGTGGTCAGCACTATGCCCAGCCGCCTTTACTTTCCCTAACGTGAGTTAGGTACCCATCAGAGTTGGGTGGACTCAAGGACGGTTAACTGACTTGAACTCGGATTCGAGACTTACGGGTTAGCAGTCCAGCTCTCTACCGCTAGACCACTCCGTCCCATGAGATGGAAATGTAGGCCTGTGAAATTGTGTGAACTCTTGTTAGAATTTTGTGATTTCTAAGTTATGATATAAACATTAATTGATTGTAGTTATCTAATCTGTGTAATTGTATTTTGTATATGTTCAGGAGCCTCCAACATTTCATCCCCCTTTGCAAGTCTTCCTTTCGTATCACTTAGGCCGTGTGGCCGGGTATTAGAGTGTATTACTGCTACCCTGAAAGTCTCATATTTGGTTCAAGTCTGTATGACATCCACATGTAAATTGATGGGTACCTGGCTTGTTATTAGGGAAAGAAAATAGAACTGACCACTCTATCCCTTCTGACAACTCTACTTTAACGTTACAATGCCCTTTGCAAGCCTTCCTTACATATCACATGGACTGAGAGGTCACTAACTCCTAACCTGGGCACTATGAACTCTACTTCATCTGCACTGTTGACCGCCATCATGTGCTAAAGTGTAACCTTTTACAGTGACATTGTTTTGGCATTAAAAAGATTGTAGAAGTCAAGTTCCCTTTTGGAACCTGACAGTCTATGGGAAAACTGAAGTAGAGTTCACCTGTTTCTGTGACCTCGGCATATGAAGCGATAGTGTAGTCAGCCCTATGCCCAGCCGCCTTTTCTTTTTCAGAGCCGGGTGAACTTGGGGACGTTCTACTTACTTGAACCCAGATTTGAACTCTAGATTTTCTGGTTGACAATCAAGCACTACCTCTAGGCCACAATTATTTCCTTGGTTTACCTAATATGAATTAAGTAATCATCTAGAAAGTTGTTGTATTTGCTGTTCCTTTTAATTTTTAGTCTAGTGGTTCCACAGGCCAGTAATTTACCAATTTTCTAAAAAGCAACCTTATAAAACAACTAATGGCATCGAGGACTAGCCAGTATCTCAAGTATACCAGCCAACTAGTCTTCATGCTATAATCACCACAATCAATAACGTTAATATTCTGGTAGGGGTTTGTGAGGTTGGGTTGGTAAAGCTCATGGCTGCTTAACCATAAAGTCCCAAGTTTGAAGACACCGGGCAGATGAGGCTTGATAGCTGGGGACGGCAAGCCATTTAGAAGATAAAACTCAGAAATTGCGTTGTAGTTTGTTCTTGGATGGGAGGAAAGCTTAAAAAGAAAAGCTGCGTAAATTGGAGTCAAGTCAATAACTTATATGACGCATAACAGGTTGGCATGTAATTCCTACTGTGTTGGATACTAATTGTATTTAGAGCCGTTCTTCTTTCCTTTTTTTAAGCCACGAGTGGCTAGTGTGATACTCCTATGTACCACCAGCTGAGGGATGTGCAGCTAGTAGATGACCAGGTCTCTATGTATGGTCACCCAAATTTTCTTTCAGGCATCTTCTCCAGGGGAAGGTGGCACTGTCCCATTAGAGCATGACCCCCCCCCCTCACCACCAACCAGACTAAATAAAAAAAAAATATACTTTAACCAATGTGTTACCTCATATTCCCCCCCCCCCCCAACAGGAGAAAAATGTCTGAAAGAAACTATTAAGGTCACACCAATGTGTCTAATGACAATGTTTTATAAATAATATTTTCTCTTGTTTAACCATTTTTGAGTGTTGTGATTTTAAAAGCCATTAAATCACCGATGCTGATTTCACCCTTGTACTAACACAAGTGTTACCTGTAGATTAAATATATTCTGAATTGCTAGTGTAAAAGAAAAAAAAAACTAAACAAAAGAAAAAAATAAACCTTATAAACCAGATGGAATTCACTATTTGAGAGCTTTTTAATCCACATACAATGACAAACACTGGGACTGACAGGTATAAGCAGTGCAGGGAGTACAGGGTGGGTCATGAAGAATCGAATTTTAGAACTGCTTTTGTAATTCCGAGTGATATTCCATTTTTTAAAGAATGAATTTCTAAGGTTAAAAAAATCAGATCTACAACACAAAGTACTGAAACAAAATGATGGACCAGAATGTTTTGTATATGTTGCAGAGATACAATTTTTGTGTAAAAAAAAGTCTTCTTCCATGTCAGAGTATTATACATTCTTGATATGACAGCACATTTTTGTAACTTATTTAGTTAATCAACAGAAGAAATTACTCCTTTTTATCAATACTAAAAACTGCACTTAAAAGGATTAAGTTCATTGGGTTGTTAAGAACATATTGGATTCATTTACAAGAATTCTTATTCTGACAATTTAGACTTCAAGATATAAAGTATTAACTATATTTCTACGTAAATTTACTTTTAGAATTATATTTACTAGTTTTAATGAAAGAAATTTGAACAGAGAAAATTTTTTTCTTATTCTCAAGTCCCACAATGAAACCCTATGCAAGACAGAATGCATACAGATAATTTGGAACAGCTTCTACTCAACAAGCGAGCTACTACAAACAAATTAAGCAATTTTTTTTTACATGATTCAACAATGCCTAGTGTTCATGAAATCTTCTTGAAATAACTGACAAATCACTGAAAATTATATATAAATTAATATCCGGAAATTACAGAAATTTTTTTTGAACAGAAAATTAAACAATTAAAACTATCATGGGTTATTTTAAAAAGCAGGAAGGAAAATTCTCTTGTCTAAATTAGAGTGAAAATCCACAGCACTGCATTGCTATACTAAAACAGCCTGTATCATTCATTTAAATCCTTTTTTACAATGTACACATTTGGTAGTGAGTGTAAAACATTTTTTCAATTGAAGCTCCCAAGAGGTCATTTGACTGGACATATTTATTTCTATACAAATATCACTCAAAGCATAATGAAGTTTTAACACCTATATCTCCAATTCAATACATGAACTAAAAAAAAAGAGAATTCAATGTCACCTAACATCAAAATGCAATGAAATATAAATGAAAAAAAAAATTTGACATGTTATCACAAAAAAAAAGTTATTTTAATACACACCATAAATGACTTGACGTGTCTATTGACATTAACTTCATTGAACTAGTGAACTTGAGAAATGACTATTGATTCCTTCACATATCCTAACATTACAATAAATCAGGTATTATACATATATATGTTATATATTATAGGAATATAAAAACACTGAAATATTCAACCTTTCAACAACAAAAAATTAATATCTGTCTTCAACTAAGTTTTTTACAATATATTTTAAATATATTTTATTAATTAAGTACCAGATGTTTTTTTTTAACTTAAAAGAAGTTTGGTGCTATTTCATATTTTAGTAGCTTTATTCAATTTGATTTTAGAGAAAATTTTGCTAACATTACTAAACCTTTTTAATTAATCACACAAACAAGGCTTCATTAAAAACAAATGACATTAAGAAAAATAAATTTGATACTGTTTTTCTTTTAAATGAACACACAAAAAAAACCCACTTTGGTTGCCATCAGTATAAAAAAAACAACGCGTATCTTTATCAGTCATTTAAAAATAATGCTATGATGTATTTGCTACAATTAAAAATTTAAAGAGAAGCTTATGATGAAATAATTCTACTAAACAATTGTTCGCAAAAATAAGGATTAAAAAAAAAGACAACATCCAAGGAACAAACAACAGATTTAAAACAGGATCTTACAACAGAAATTTCCACATAGCTTCACAATAATTCCAGTGAAACTGGTAGCCCTTGCCACTAGAACACGAATGTACAAAAACCCATCATACTTGTCTATATTCTGTTACATTTATTTAAAAACAAAACAAAGCATGAAAACAGAGTCGCATGGTGAAGTTTTGAGCTTGAAATTATCAACAGTCTTTATACAATATCATACAATATTTTTGGGGAAAAAAAAGGGTTTAAGTTTTTTTTTTAATGCTATCATCCATCACTATGCTTGGTCAAACAAAGCCATTATTTTAGAGCTCCATTACAAAAAAAAGTAAAATGTTATCCCATAACAGAGACAAACAAACCATACTTGAACTGTTAAGTTGATAGCAAGTGTTATGCAATTAACCACTTTAGTAGTACCAGGTTGATAACTATTGTTAGGAAGTTTGGTTAAATCTTTACTATTCAAGTGGTATCAAGTTTATAAAACTCTACAACCTTATTATGAATCTCACACTGAAATATCAAAGTTTAAAAAAGTGAACTTGATTTGCTTTGTAGAAATATACAAAGGATGAGTTTTTGATATGGCAGCTAAAAATAGAAGTGGATAATGTCAATTAATTAAATTTATAAAAAAAATATTTAAATTAGAAAGGTAAAGTGTAATAATGAATTATCTTTGGAATATATATATATATATATATGTGAAAAATATGTGTGAAAATGAGATTAGAGGCTGATAATTCTAGAGATATGAGAATGTGTTAAATAAGAATGCTTATGTAATTCTCAGTTTAAAAAATTGTCATTAATTTGAGTTAATCTCCGGAGTAACAATACTAGCAATTCTTTAGGTGCTTTTAATATTATATTAAAAGTAAAAAAGATTTGTTCATGTTTTTTGTTTCACATGAAATAAAAGGAACTTCTAGTCAATAACATGATAATTCACTCTAAATAAATCATTAGGAATATTTTCTTCTGTTCTTGTTACAACGAAGATGTATTACCACAGTAATATAAATCACATTTTATTTAACAAAGTGAATCACAAGTTGTAAAGATTACACTCTTTCCTATTTAAGATTAAAAGCACTGGCCAAACCTATTGAATCTGTTTATATAAAACTACTGTTGTTGGCTTTTTTCACCTAACGTTAACTATCTAATTTTTGTTAAGAATTATTTTATTAAAACATTTAGAGATCCATTTTTAATTTAAAAAATCTGCATTGAAATAAAAATATTGTTATCTACGATCTTAGAAAACTTATATGCGTCTATTAAATTTAATCAATATAATATTTCTTTGATAGAAAACAAAAATGATGTAATAACAATCATTCTGATTACATCAAATATTCCAATGTGACCTTTAAGTCTAAATGATCATCTTTCTATATTAATAAATGTGCCTTGCTATAAAAAAAAAATCTGATCAAAATAGAGAAAATATATTAAAATGAAGCACGAAAAGAGAAACTCTAAACCTTTTTTACATTAAAAAAAGATATTTTATCTAAATTTTAGAAAAAAATATTTTGAGTTTGGATTTAAAAAAAAACAATTGTTCTCTAATAAGTTTAAAATTATGTTTTTTTTAATAATTAAATGTTAGGTTTGCTGAGTTGAATAACTGCTGACAGTTTTTAATGTGAGATTAAATGAACATGTTTTTATGGAAATTTGTTTTTAAAATTTAAAAGGGAGCATTAGATAAAGAAAAAAATAATAATGAACAAGAGAAAGAGAGAGAGAGAAAAAAAAATGCAGACAATCACAGTTTAAGTGAAAATTGTTTTTTCATAAAATAATCTCTCTTTGTCAACATCACATGTACCCGCCTTTAGTTTTAGTAGTAATTTGTATCACTTATAGTCTAGCACACATTGTTAACAACATTAATGATGTTTGAAAAAAATTTCCACTGGATAATAGGAGCAACTACTCAAAAAGTGTGAACAAAAAAATGTTTGAAACTAAATAATTTTTCTCCAGAAATATATCTTTTAAAACATGTATTCACCATGATAGAAACTACTAAAAAGTGTGAACAAAAAAATGTTTGAAACTAAATAATTTTTCTCCAGAAATATATCTTTTAAAACATGTATTCACCGTGACAGAAAAACCGGGAAATATCAAAAGTATGAGGCAAGTCATTTACCTCAAAACAAAACAAACAGCTAATATTCTATCCACTTCAAAACTGTTGAATTATCAATATTCTAAAAGAGAAAAATCTTTGACAACATGAAATTTATAAGATTTTGAAAAAAAAAAATGGAATTTAACAGTAACAAATAATTGTATTCACAAGTTGCTTATGGCTACAACATGTAGAGTACCAGGGCTGACTGCTAGCTAGATGATTGAGATGGTACACTTAAATTTTATTCAGACAGTTAGAGGTAACACAACAATGCTTTAAAAAATTGTTTTTATATGCAATGACAAGGTAACCTAGACCATAGTTTTAACCTAATATATACTATCAATAATAAATGTTACTTGTTTTTATTTAATGAAGTGAGATACAATTAGGGTGAGAGAAAAAAGTATATTATTTTTAAAAAAATAGGGCCTATTGTTATTTAAAATTCAATTAGTCCTTAAAATTATTTTTTACTAACATTTAATTTACTGAATACAAATTTCAGTTTATTACTTGTTATAAGGAAACTTATCTTTATCAGATGATTTGATAAGTATAGCATATATGAAAAAAAGTAACCCAGCAGTGGATAAAAGCAAACAAACAAAATAAAGATTTAAAAAAAAAAGACAACACATAAGATAGGAAATTGTGAGAATTGTGTAAGAGCATACTGTAATAAAATACTCAACTTTTGAGAATCACAATTCATTAACTTGCAGAGAATACAAAATTGTTTCAATGTTCATTTCTTGACTAGAAAGCTTTCATGTACAATATTTTTCTGTCATAAATATTAGCAGACTCAAAACATAATGCTTTGATACAATTGGTACTTTCTTTGAATGAACAACAAAAAATATGGACTTTTTTTTAAAAAAGCTGGTTATCTCCCTTACTCTCACTTTTCATCAACATGGGCAGCAACACGTTTGTAAAAAAAAAAACTAATCTTAATAACAATATGGCACATGCATAACTGGTCACAAAATGCAGATATTGTTTTACAATCACTTTACTAACGTAGTACCAACCATTTCATGAAAAACTCACCAAGCTACTAAAAGCACAATAAACGACTCCAAATTAAATGAAAGAGCATATATATACACATAGTTTGTATTGATTACATATTAAAAATTTCTTCATTTGATTTGATTTAACTTTCAAAAGAAGAGTTGACTTAAGTTAGAGGTTGACAGCCTCAAACCAATCTGTTTATCAATGATAGCAAAATGCCCGGTTGAAAAAAATTGCACTCCACTAAAATACCACATGATGAAAGAAATCATTTATTCCTACACGGCACTGCTTAACACAGTGATTTGATTATATCATCACATAGAGTTATCCGAATCAAAGCAGTCAATGCTCGTGTGAAAAGGACTGCTGGAACTGTCATCAGAGAACATGGGAGCATTTAGCCAAGCACTCTCGCTGTCTTCTTTCTTTGATTTTCTGGAAACGCTACTCCCGCTCGATTGGGTGCGGTTTTCCCTGGATGCCATGTTTCCTTTGAAGGGTAGGACATTGTCTCCACGGGATGACGCGGAGTGTGGCTGTGATTTCCCCGCCGGCTGGCTAGCGTGTGGGTGAGAAGGATACTGGTGCTGGCTTTTCTTGTTGGAGTGTGCCTCCAACACGGCGGACGACCACGGCTGGGATAGGGTCAAGGACTGAGATTTCTGGGTCTTGGGCGTTCCTGAGTTTTGGTTCAGCAGTGGTGAGGATGAGGTGAAGAGTGCCGTGGATGGGTACATGGGTAAAGAACTTGATGCTCCCAGCTTCGTCTTCTGTTTTATCGGCGCCGATGGTGTTACGTTTTTCGATCCTGATTTCTCCTTCTGATAAATGTCTCGTCCTTCTTCTAAAAATGACGGCTGCTCAAGCCTAGTTAGTATAGGTATCCTGGACATTAGACTGTCGTTTTTAGAACACTCCGCTGGTGGGGACCCCTCCTCCTTCTTCACTTTCATCACCATTTGAATCTTGAGAGCCGTCTCTATTTCTCTTAGCGATGACAAAGGAAGAAGGGTTACTTTTCCGGATTGTGGAAGACGGATACTAACATTGCTGCAGCAGCAGGAAGCCACCTCACGCACACGCTCGCATGACAGGGTAATCGACGTCGGCTTCCACTGAAACAGGGCAGTCAGGTTTTCTTTGGCCATACAAAGGCGGAACAAGACTTCATCCAGAAGACAGAATGGCTGGGGTGTTCTAGAGATATTTTAAAAAAGGAAATGGTGAGTACTACTCGCCTGACATAAAAAAAAATATTTAAAATTACTTTTTTATTTGAAAATTATTTTTATTCTGATCAATTTATTTTTTACGAAGATTTTCAGTGAAAACAATAATTTTACTTGGTATTTAAAATAAAAAAATCTAAACGAAATGTCATATTTTTTTCATCATAACCACTAAGAAAAAAAAAAAAGTTACTATAGTTTTATAAAATTAAATGAGAAAATAAATTGGAAAAATATTGAGGTGTTCTTTACCTATCTTCCCCGTCTAAAGCTAAATTAAATACATTGATTGCTGAAGTTGGTCCATCATCAAAAACATCAGTGGAATCATCAGCGGGGTCGGCAGGTAAATCAACAAAAGGGCTATAACTCTCTGTTTGTATATTCTCTGTCAAAAAAAGGGGAAGGAATTAGCTTTAAAAAAATTCTAGACATAAACATATTTTAAGTGCAGAATCTAGAAGTTTGAGCATAGACCCTATTTTTAAGATTATGTTATATAACCATACCCAAGTGACACATTTAAACAATAAAAATTGTTAACAATTTTTTTTATGTAGTGTAGATCTACATTAAATAAAATAAATTGTAGTTTAGATCTACATTAAATAAAATAAATTGCTTTTAAATGTGTTTATTTAACTTAATTTTTTATTTGTTCCATTGTTTTGTTTTACTGAATAAACAAGATTAATCCTGATTAAATTACACAGAATTACATTAAGTTAAAAAAAAAATTGTAATCTTTAGAGATTGAATTGGTTTAAAATGCAAATTAATATATAGAAAAATTTAATAAATAAAAAAGGTTTTTTTTAAAAATCTGTAAATTAAATCTCACAAAATGCATATTAAAATATTGGAACTATGAAGATAGAGCAAAAATAAAAGGAAAAATTGATTTGAAAATAACAATAAAGATGAAAGAAATATAATCCCTCATAACTCTCTGTGTCAGAAATGACAGGGGAGATTAATACAGTTGAAGTTTTTAGCAGACAACAATCTAGAAGTATTGTGATTCAGCGGTTTTTTAAGATCAATGATTACCTATTTTCAGCACAAAGTTTTGAAATTAAAAAATTGCTTTTTTTTTTTACTGGGTTCATATTTCAGCTTAAAAGTAGTGTCAGAAATTGAGTTTTAGTCAGAACTAGCATAAAACATTATCAAGTAGGCCTATTTGTAAATGTGAAATCATTACACTGTTTCAAATTTAAAAAAAAAACATAAATCAAATGAGCAATCAAAATAATATTTAGAAATATCAATAAAGAATGCGTTAAATGTATTATAGAATTTAGTAAAAGAAATTAGCCTTCTTATTTCAAAATTAAGCCATTTGACTTAAGGTAAGATGAAGAAAGCTACGAACATTAAAACACAGCTTATAGCAAATCCCTTTCCATACACCACTGCTCAGAACAGTATATTCAACTAACAAGACACTTACTTAAGGTTATTGTTGTTGTGAATCTCCAAGGTATTTCTTCCAGCTGGACCTGATCACTGTCCTCCTCTTCTTCCTCCTCCACCCATCCATTCAGGTCCCCAATGTAACCTAAAGGAACAAATCAAACAGTTTTAACAACCACAATGGTCTCTAAGTTCTTATAGCGGACTGCTCCAACATAAATAGATCAGGCAGAGACCCCTGAAAGACACCTGTTTTAAGAGAAACAGTATAAAACGTTCATAAGTCGGATAGCTAGGCTAAAAAAACAGTACTAAACGCAATATCTTTTTATAATAATTTGAATGTGTGTTTATTTTAACTGTGTAAATTAAGTCAAATCCATAGGGTAGAGGGTAGGGTAACTTTAAGGGTGATGCTAAGGTGCTGTGGCCAGGACCCCAAAATGTTATTTATAGCTATATTAAAATATCTTTTAGTCATTGTGATACACAAGTCACATGTGTTATAGAACGTTTTCAAACAAAGCCTTACTCAAGCTTAGTTTAATTATCCAAGACAACAATTAAGGGGGAGTGGGGTTTAATTTTTAAAAGACAACATTTTTTCCTAATATAATTTTATATGGAATTTGGAATAAACAGAAATATTATTTAATTATATCCCATTTATAAAGTCATCTACTTATTAAAATATAGTGTACTAACTAAAAATACAATCGGCACAACAAAAGTATTAATTGTTTTGAGAGGAAACCTATCTTTAGCTTAAATGGATGATGGGAACCTATTATTATCTTCAATTTGTTTTGTAAGATTCTCAACTTACTTAAATACTGTTTAGACCTAGATCTATATAGGTTATACTATAAATTAGTAAATCTGGTAAAATAATAAAAATATTTCTTAAATGTTTTCAACTTCAACTTTAAAAAAAAACATTCCGAAATATCACTACTACTAATTTTTTAATCCTACCTTGCAAGGTCTGCAACATGGGCAAGGACTTGGCTATCCTAACTGGCGTCCTCCCAGCATAGGTCGCTATCAGGGGGTCAGCCCCATGGACCAGCAACAGCCTCACAACCTCCAGGTGGTCATTCTCTATGGCATCATGGATTGGCCTGCAGAGATAAGAATTTACAATTTTAAAAACATGGATTGGCCTAAAGAAATAGGAATTTACAATTTTAAAAACATGGATTAGCCTACAGCAGGGGTTCCCAACCCCGTGCCCGCCGAATGATTCGTATGTGCCCGCCTCTCACTATTCGACAGAGACAGAATTTTTTTCATAAACATTATTTAAAGGTTAAAGGGGATGGAAATCGAAAGTTTGAGGGGGTGGTGCAAATTGAAAAATCTGAGGGGGGGGGGGGGGGGGGTTTGTGCAAATCGAAAATTTGAGGGGTGGGGCGGGGGGGGTGTGTGTGCAAACTAAAAGTTTGAGGGGGGGTGCAAATCAAAACTTTTGTCCCCGGGTGACGGGAAGGGTCGCTACGCCTCTGGAAGGAGTTGTCGATTTAAAATAGGTGGTGCCTGCCACCCTACCGATATTTTAGAATGTGCTTTAGAGTAAAAAAAGGTTGGGAACCCCTGGCCTACAGAAATAAGAATTTACAATTTTAAAAACATGGACTTCCCTACAAAAACAAGAATTTACAATTTTTAAAAGCACTGATTGGCCTACAGAAATAAGAATTTACAATTTATAAAAACAATTTTAAAAAAAACATGGATTGGCCTAAAAAACAGGAATTTACAATTTTAACATTTTTTTAAAACATCTAAGCAACATACAATGCTGCAATAACTTATAAAGGATTCACAGCTATGCTGACTGATGTGAGGGGTCCTTAGTTCAACTTTTGATTCAAATAAAAATTCTGAACCATATGCAACCTTTTAACAAACAAACTGAAAACTTTGAATTTACTCAAAGTTTCTACTGCAACACCATCAGGCATATTTGAGGCATCTGTTCGGGGGATGGGGAAATTACCCCCCCCCCCCGATGTGAAATAGAATTCCAGAAATTTAAGTTAACCCCTCACCAACTGAATACCATGGTAAAAAAAGTATCAAAGGTCATTTAGTCCATTAAAATTAACTTATTTAAGAATATATCTAGACAATGTTGTTTTGAACTTATATATACTGGTTCTTATCTTCCTAAGAAATTGAATTTTCAAAGAAAGAATTTTTTTTATATTGAATATGTATGTGCTGATGAAATTATTCTCAATAAGATAGCTCATGAATGTTTAATTTCAACAAGTCTAGCTTTTTTTTTCCTTTTCAATTTTCATTTTCAATTAAAAGAAGACATAAAAATGTGCTGAATAAACTCTCAGGGCAAAGATAAAATTATTATCTGAAATATATTTTCTTTGTTCTCAGAAATCAATAGAATCCTGCATTTGAAATAAATTATAACTTAACACATTAAACAGAGCTTCTTTAAAATGTAATATAACAAACAACAAAGAAGCAAAAATAGTTTTATAAAATTAGGTCGATTTGAAATGGATGTACATTGAATTGTTGGATTATAATAATGCGGTCAAAACAAGAAAGTATAATAAAGCAACTTAAGTTTGATTAATATTTAGCACCAGTATGAGACAGAACTAGATCTACAAGTTGTTCTGTGGTGCTTAAGATAAATAACATTACCCTTTAGGGCTACGGGTAAATACAGTGGTTATACACTACTTAAGCTCTGTAAGATAGTTTTATAGTTAGCCCTATAGGCCTAAAGACAAAACTGTCCCACAGAGCTTAAAATAAATTAAGTTGTCCTACAGAGCAAAAGATAAATTAAGCTGTCCTATAAAGCTAATGATAATTAAAGTTGTCAAATAGAGCTAAAGATAATAATTGTATCCTACAGAGTAAAGATAAAGTTGTCCTACAGAGCTAAAGATAATTAAATAATCTAGTTATCCAATAGAACTAAAGATAAAGTTGCCCTACAAAACTAAAGACAAATAGAATAGTCCTACAAAACTAACGACAAATAAAATTTTCCCACAAAACTAAAACTAAAGACAAATAAAATAGTCCTACAAAACTAAAGACAAAGTTGTCCTACAAAACTAAAGACAAAATTGTCCTACAGGACAACAAAATCTCACCGTATCCCATCCTGAGAACAACAGTTGACATCTGCCCCGTAATAAATGAGATGCCTGGCCACTGCCACGCTGCCCCTGACACAGCTCTCATGGAGGGGGGTGTAGCCTGCATTGTCTCTGGCATTGACATGGACAGTTTTGGTCTTCAGGCAGTAAAGAGTTATTTCCTGGGGAGAAACAAAAACATCATTTCAACATGGTTTTTTTTTTTTTGATGTTGTGGAGTTATTTCATTGGGAAAAATAAAAACATCATTTCAACTGTTTTTTTTAAAAAGTGTGGTTATTTCCTAGATAAAAATTCAACATTTTAAAATATTTATTTTTTGGATGACATGTTTTTTGTATAGTGTAGTTATTTTCTGGGGAAAAATAAATAAAATTATTTCAACATCTGTTTTTTTTTGTAATGGTGTAGAGTTAATTCCCAAGGAAAAGAAATTACTTCACTATGTTCTTAGACTGTAGACAGACAACATTGAAATTTCAATCACATTTAAAATCAATATTATTTTTCAAATTTTTCAGAATTGGAGTGGACACTTATACATTACTTATTGGTCAACACATTCAGAGTTTCTTACAGGCATGTCTTCGGGGGGGGGGGGGGGGGGGGGGGGGGGGCGGGGGGGCTTTGCCCGAAATATTTACTACCGCCCCCCCCCCCCCCCCCCGAACGAAATTTATATAATTTATATAATATATACTTTTAACAGTGTCCGCCCCCCCCCCCCCCCGAAAATTTCAAGTGCGCCCCCCCCCCCCCCCCCCCAGGAGAAAAAAAGTCTGGAAGAAACACTGAACACATTTGATCACAATGGAGTGCTAGTGTTAGAAATCAACCCCTCCCTGTGTTAAAAATGTATCTGCTAGCGCTAGTGTTAGAAATGCAGACCCCCATAGATAGAATAGGGTCCTAGAAAAATGAGACGTTTGCGCAGTCTTCTAGGGATTTACATACAATAAAATACTAACATCAGCTCAATCTTTCAAAACTTGGCTAAGCATTGTCAAGGCAATAAAGAGCAAGGATGATCCCACAGGACAGGGTTCCGGGTGGGGGAGGGTGGGGAAGAAGGTGATGGAGGCAAGGGATAAGATCAGGGACTTCCTTTGCAGAATCACTGAAGGCAGCAGAAGGATCGGGAATCATGGCAAGGAGTCAACAGTGTTGCCCCCAACGACCCTCCCAAGTTTATGGATTAGATTAGAAGTGATTAGATTGGATGGTGTTACCCGAACCCCCTCCCTTTTTTGTGTTGACGTTATACATGTAACTTAGAGCACCATATTAAGAGAATCTCGATGTACTTTGCTCAGTAAAGTGAAAAAAAAAACCTCTGTAATAAAATACAGAAATGTGCGCGCCGTTGTATGCGTGCTATCGCGTGCGTGCACACTGGATTCTCAAGCTTGTAACACAACACCCAATCACTGTTTTAACGGCTACACGTTATAGCCATGCTTGGATTGGGTGGTAGTTTCGGCCAGCCATTAAACCGTCTTGCATCCCCATCCCCCTGTTTCTTCGCGCCAGAAAAGTCTTCCGCTGTTTGCGCGGTAATAAAAAAGGGTGATTTGGTCTTTCCTCTATTTGCCAGGGACACATAACTCCGATCTTTTACCCCGTTGTAGTTTTTTAGTTTTATTTCTCGAGACAAGGAAGAACGTGACTGCGGCATCGCACCATCTCCATAAAAACCCGATCCAATGTTTGATGTAACTCGCTAAAGTTATGACGTGTGATCGGAAACGTAATAAACGGGTTGGACATGATTCGGTACGAGGCTATCCGTTTAATCAAGCCAACTCCAATGGTTAGGATTAGGGTTTGTTTCTGTTCTGGTGAAATGTCCTTTAGTATGATCAATGTGATTAGTTGGGTTGCCTTCGCCTGTTTATATTTTCCTCGGGGGGGGGGGGGGTAGAGCACTGGAAATTCCCGGGTAAGGGGGGGGGGCGAACACTAGTAAAAGTACATTTGTATTTATAAGTTTTGGGGGGGGGGGAGGAGCGGTAGACGTCTTTTCGAGGGGGGGGGGGGAGGGAGGAAGGAAGGGTTTAGCCCTCCCCCCCCCCAAAAAAAAATGTCTGAAAGAAGCTCTGGTAACAACATCAAAGGACGCAGCCTCGAATATTCTCGAAACGGTGTATGAAATATTTTTAAAATCTGGTGCTATGTTATTAAATATAATGTCGAAATGAAGGCTACACAACCGCGGTGGAACGAAGAAGAGGAATGTGTATCTTTGCCATTGATGTTTACTACACAATAATTAATCTTGTTTAAAATTATCTTTTATTTTTATATGGAAACAGGAAACCGACTTAAATAACACAACTGCAGTTAGGTCTAAGTTGTAAGAAGCAATGTCTATACGCCAGCATTCAAAATGGTTTTAAAATAAATGGGTTTCTAATTTAAAATTCAAGCCATTGCTAAATTCAAAAGTGTATTACTAACTTCCACGCACTAACACACAAAAAAAAAACAACCATTATTTGAAATATGATTAACCTTCTCACACCGTCTGTAATAATAAAAAAAATTATCTTTGTAATTTGAACACAGACTCCCTCAAATAACGAACAGAAATAATAAACATAACAGGGTTTCCGACCCTCTGGATTATTGATGCTTATTTGCTTCTCACCTCTCCCCCGGGATTCTAGGCTGCTTATTTACCCTTCCTCGTTCTTTCTTATTGCTGTTTACACCCCCTCCCCAACCCTAGATTTTTTGTATTGCTTATTTAATCTCACCCGAGGAAATAGCCCAGTACAGATAGGTCAGGGGTTAAAGTTCTAAACACGTTTTCTATGTGAGGCTGAGACGAATTTTTACGGTCATGTCTATATTTAGCTCGTCTCTTATCTCTAACCCACATTTCCTCCCCTTCCTACCCAGCTCTTAACGGCTGGTGGTACTATTTATTCCCGCACGCTCAACCGACTGAAAACCCAGAAAGAAAACCCATCCTACAAGAAAGAAAACCCACCCATAAGAAAGAAAACTTATCCCCAAAGAAGGAAACCCACCTACAAAAAAGAAAGCCCATCTACAAGAAAGAAACCCCATACTAGAGAAAGAAAACCAATCAACAAGAAATAAAACCTACCCACAAAGAAGAAATCCCACCCACAAGAATCAAAACCCATCCACGAGAAAGAAAACCTACAATGAAGCTTTCAAGCTGTACGTTGATGCCTTTAAAAACACTCGAGGCCAGACTTGTGCCAAATTATTTGTTCATCGCGTAGCCTACGCCCATTTTATCAGGCAATACCAGTCATTAGTTTATTGAACTATGCAACGTATAATCATTTACCTACCTTTATTATTTTTAACAAAGAAAACAAAGGTCAGATTGACCTTTTTAGCGAAACCGTGCTGATTGTTATATAACACAAATTTTGGGACATTTCTACCCATTATGATCGAGCCCCTCCACATATTCAGGCGAAACATTCTTAGAATATGCTGCTTTTTGAGAATACAATCGAAAATTATCAAATTCTGCAGCGTGGGAAATATGAAAAGAGTAAAGTACCACTTCCGGTAACCGGAAATCGCATAAAAGTTAAAAGAATTCTAGGCATAGTATCTAATACTTATATATGAAATTTCCTCAACTTCACTGAAACAGTATTCAAGTTAGTGTGTTCACACACACACATTCAAACAGGTAGACATTGAGAAAAGATTGAAAAACTAATTTTTTTCCCACACAGGAAGCTACAAAACGCCGAGATTTGTCAGAATCTCGATTTTCATATTTTGTACGATTACAATACTTCCCTTTTACTCCGAATACAAGAAAGTATTAAGAAATAAAAACTATGAAAAAAGTGCGTAAGAGGATATTTCTTTCTTTAAAAAGAACTACCAATGGAATTGGAATAAGAAAACAAGCTGGAAATGGAATTTTTTAAGCGTGAAAAAAATAACATCATGTGAATTGTTATGTCATGTACCGGTAATATAATTCTAAAAAGTGAAATGGAATATTTGAGACATAAGCTGAATTATTAATATCTGGATTCTCAATTTCCAGTCCAAGTTTTTACAATCCATCTTAATCTATCAGCTTTTTTTGTTTGTTTGTTGTTTTTGTTTAGAGGGGAGGGGGGCGCAGGGAGATCTAAACAAAATCCTGCGTCTCAATTCTGGACGCGGAGGGAGGGGAGGGGTGAGTGTCACGTCAACACGAGATGGCAACGACAGGCGTTAAGTAATACGAGAAACTGTTTCCTGAGGGTGGGGGGTGGGGGAGGGTGGGGGGGTGGGTACGGCGTCTGGGTCATGGAGTTGGGGTCGGGATCATTTGGTTAGTCTCAGGACCATGTGGTGGGATTTATGGGATCGGAATTATGGGATCGGAGTTAAGGGGATCGGAGTTTAGGGGATCCGAGCTGGTGGGATTAGACATAAGGGGTGGGAACGACGGGGTTAGGGTTGGAAAAAATGGAGTAATGATGTGTGAAAGGCGGTTTTTAGGGAGTGACTGGTAGAACGTGTGGTGGTTGCAAGAAGGTGCGGGGGGGGGGGGGGGGGGGGGGGGGGGGAGCGAGTAGAAATTTCATATTTACGTAGGGTGTCCTAATATTACGGGTAGTGTTTTTTTTTTTAACAAACCATGTGTTAGTTTTCTTTTTTTTTTCGTTTTCTAAAGTATTTAAAAAAGTTAACATTCTCTACGATTATTTATATCTTATACATTTTGTTAATATTGTAACGATGAAGCATGTTAGAAATAATGTACATGCCTAATTTTATCCGCTTTTAAATATTTTTCTTTTTACATTTTAACCAAATGTAAGCTTAAAAACAACATCCATTACTGTAAATTATGTTTTCCATTAGGAAGGAGATAAAGCTTTTAAAAAATAACAATAGAAACGGTTCAATTAAGGTTTTTTACATTTTTAAAAGTGAATGATGTCCCTTGGTATACATTTGCCCAATAAAAGGGAGACAAAATACATTAGAAATAATCAATGCCATTACTAAAAGTATGCCGTTAAGGGAATTTTATTTTAACTCTATTCCCTTGAGAATTTCGGGTTTTTTTGTGTGGGAATTTAAAAAAAAAAGTAAATTGTAACGAGCTAATTTTTAAATGTTTTTTTCTTTCTCCAAATTTGAGGATATTTCTATCTGGTGTTAG